TTTTCCGGGTTTAATTACCAAATTTGAAGAACTCAATATTTCCTACGAGTGTAAAAATACCATTCAGAAAATTCTTCGCTATACTGACAAGGTAATAACTGTAAAATAAATCTATGTTGACAGCATTTGACCAGCAGTAACGGGAATACTTTGTTCAATTGGTCTGGGTTGAAATGTACAAAGTAGAGCATATGAGGAACTCCTTTCATATTGTAACTTCCACTTAGCTTATGTTTTACATCAAGTTTTACATGAAGCATGAAATATACATAATGGTACATTTTAAAAAATGTATCTTATTCAGCGCAATCTTGCTGTGTTCATGCGAACATTAATTAAAATTAACTATTTGTTATGGATGATATAATAATAATTTTAATTCAATAACATCTCCAATATCCATCTTTATCACATCAATTAATTGTTATGTTTGATAGGCTGAGCTAATTGAATAAGGTAGCTTTTCGGCGGGTAACGATCAATTTCTAATCGAAAAGTTGATAAAAAACGTGTCGTAAAAATGTTCCAGTTAATGAGTTGTGATTGATTAATTATTGACTTGCGTGATTCCATATTCCATTATTGACCGGTAGGAATCCTCTAGCCACAGCTTGGAGGTCGATATCGACCAGTTCTGAGTTCCTTGCATTTGGCCTACAGAAATTAAGGCTGGCGAGGCAGACCTGTTAGAGAGATCCCTTATTGATATCTCATATTGATATCTTATTGACATTATATTTAATGTGATTGCTGAAGGAGCACAAGCCACTTAATTAGCTAAGAGTGACCTCGCACTCGAGGTCAAGTCACTTCAGGATATTCATGATTCACGCGAGTCTTCCCGACCTTATGAATTATGACTGCACATTATTTTTCTCGCTTAGAAAACAGTTATGGTGGAGAAAATTTATTTAGTGTCTTATTATCAAAAACTTCATTCATTTATTTTTTATACATGGTACGTACTATTTTCAAATAGCATCTCAACAAAAATACCACGTTTTAATATTGAATTTAAAAAATAAATTAGCTCATTGAAAAATCAATCTAAACAAAATAATGTTCATGTACATCTTGATAAAAATAAAATTTATCATATAAAATTGAACTCTACCGATGCTTGCCAATAAAAGGAGAGATTTCCTGTGAAAGTGAAACAATCACCAGGTTCCGAGAATAAATCCGGAGCTGGCCTTGGGTCGCCGTGTTAATGCTACCGTATTTTCGCTACCGACCTCCCATCATCACAGAACTGCCCCCGGTCACGGCACCTCGATTAGAGCTCGTCCGCACCACCGTACAACACCGAACACACATAACGTGTTCCGCAGACGCTCATAATCTACGGAACAGGAGGAATGCCAAACACTAATGTGTGAATTTTACTGTTTTAAAATGGGGCATGGGTTGATACAATTACCGATATATCACACTGCTACAATTTTTAACTGGCAAAGAACCAAATAAAATAATGGAACCTAGCATAATTCAAGCAGTCGATCAAGTGAGAACTACGTAATATTTTTTGTATGTTAATTATACTCATTGTGTCGGCTAGCGTGATTACGCACTCGCTGCACGCGGCGGTTATCTGTTATATCGACCACGTGACGCCGCGGAGCTGGTCGCGCGCGTTACGCCGACTTACGCATCGACCGTTGCACGAGCTAACGCTGCAGTAACGCTGAGGTTAAGAGAGGTGAGGTTAAGAGAGGTGAGGTTAAGAGAGGTGAGGTTAAGAGAGGGGAGGTTAAGAGAGGTGAGGTTAAGAGAGGTGAGGTTAAGGTTCTGCGTCATTTTATGCATGTCAGTTTTCTTTAAATCGGTCTTGTTTATTTTATTTATGAATAATGAATGATTAATAAATACCGATTGTTAAGGCTTGATAGTGACCTGATAAATGAAGTTAATGTCGTTCGCGGCGCTCGATCGTCCCTGCCCATACATCAGGTCAGTTCTTTTCAACCAAACCTCGCTTGGGGGCGCATTCTAGCCTACAAATAACCCTGCAATTAATGTCATAAAATGAATGGTCTCGCCAGGGACGCATTTAAAGACAGAGCTGTGACAAGTCGTGGGCAGGATTGCCTGCAATGATAATAATCGTGCCGTTTGTACTTCTCTACTACCTAAAGTAAGTAGAATCTAGAAACAGGTAGAGCTACTAGTAATAGTAGAATATAGATTGAGCTAGTAGATTGTGCAGTCATTCCTCACCTATAACAGGTGTTACGTTAATTTTTAGACTTCGGCCTCAATAGGTAAATTCTGCGATGAGTAATCGATCGACTGATAGTACTTATTTAAGGATTTGTATTGCAAATTTTCCGTAAGTTTACACTGCTTTAAGTGTTCACAAACCTTCCCTACACTCTTACTGCCGATCGAGTTCCGCAGGCTGTTTAAATCATCCGATCGACTCCCCAAGAAACCCACGAACTTGCGAAGATCCCCGTGAAGGATTCTTATTATTAATATTTTTGGAAAACCCAAGATGAATTGAAGTCGCAGTATGAGAAGCGCGATATAGCAAAGAATTACTGTATTCCAGCTTCAGCTAGTAGAGTATTCTCGATGTAAAGTTTTGACTCTTCTGTTCAACTTCTCAAAACTTTTGATAAAACCGCTACTTTTTCTTCAGAGAGGAATGTTGCTTTTCGATGGTTGCAATCATATTTTTAATTTATTTAGGTAAATTAACCAATTTTCCACAATCAGCTATTCGTAAACAATCACTTGTTTAAGAATAGTTACGATCATCAAGTTATATTTCGACAAAGATTTCAGTTTTGACAACATAAAATAAAGTTATTTGGTACTCGGTGTCTGCAGACCGAGTCGAGTTTCTAAAATAATACCTCTTAGAGATAGCAGTTGACCTCACGTGCTCCAGATATTCTTTACTGGAACAGGTCATTTAAAACACTGTAAATATTTTAAAACAACTGTTTTGTCTTAACGACCAGCATTTCAAGTAATTACAAACAGAGTAGCAGCTCAGAGCTGTTCTGCGTGTCATGCCACAAACAGAGCAGCAGCTCAGAGCTGTTCTGCGTGTCATACCACAAACAGAGTAGCAGCTCAGAGTTGTTCTGCGTGTCATACCACAAACAGAGCAGCAGCTCAGAGCTGTTCCGCTTGTCATGCCACGCAGAGTTTGACTTGCTCAAGGACCATGCAGCGTCCTCCTCCTGAACGGCACGCCACTTGTTGGATGGTTCACCCAGGATCCTTCATTCTTCAGGTCGCAGTGTTTAACCTGATGAGCGCGAGGCCTTGACCCATATTCACTAGAAAATAATAAAGGATTTTTCAATTGTGTGTGAGCACGACACGTTCACTTGACCTGCTTACAGAGCCTTCTCGACATTAATTGGTCCTGAATACGATTTTCATTTGAAGGGGAGAACGTCCGAGGTTTTATTTAACTCTGAAAACATAATGGACGCTCATTTTGTTGTCAACGACAACAGAAAGGATACGGCGACTGCTGATGTTTAACCGTTGCCTAATTTGAAAAAGAATTATTTTAGATTTGCCAATCCGGCTGCATAGAAATGTATGCTGGAATTCGGTAATTTATACCAAAAATAATATTTCATTAGATAACCGTGCAATATCAGATTGATTGATGTGATTACTTGATTTTCTTTATCAGACCGTAGTTTTGCAGGATACTTCATATATAACTTATATTGAAAATCCGACTTTCAGGCGCTCAAAGGTTCTGACAATCAACATCAGCGATGGAGGTCGTCAATGGCTATACCGTAAACTGCTTCATCATTATATTTCTGTATTGAATTTTTTATCTATTTTTAGGAGATGATTTCAAATTTTCAATCCAGCATCGAATTTATGACAGATATATGATTATCGAGCTTGCTTAAATGGAATAATTGTTGAAGGAATCAACATAGATGCGCAGTATTTTACTGCCCACCGCCACGGCCGCTGTCCGCATGCAGTAACGCCCAGACAATTACAGGCCGCGGTAAGGGGGGGACTGAGTTAAAATCCTGGTCCAGTCACGATTGTCTGGCGGGGTCACGCGACGTGGAAGGAGCAGGTTCAGGAGAAAAATGAGGAGGAATTGTGAGAGGAATAAGTTTTCATATATGAGGTTTAGGAGGACAAGAAGGAGAAATTGTGAAAGGAAGAGAGGAAGGAGGAAGTGTTAGAGGTTCAGGGGGAAAAGAAGGAGGAATTGTGAAAGGACTAAGTTTTCAAGAAGGAGTTTCAGGAGAAAAAGGAAGAGTAATTGCGAACGGAAGAGAAAAAGGAGAAGTGCTAAAGAAGGAAGTGCCAGAAGTTCAGAAGAAAAGTAAATAATGAATCAACCCTTGCATTGGCCTTCTTCGAATCGAATAATTCTGAGTTAGTTGAATTCAGCTTTACGTCATTTAGGCGCGAAGAAACGCCGCACTCTGGTTTTCGTTCTTGTAAACCAACTTGTGTTTGTGTGGGGTGGGAGACTCACAATTGTTGATCTACGGATAATGACACCAGCATTAAAGTATACATTGGATTAAGTGATACATATCTTGTGTATTTTATCTCCTTATTGCATAACATTTCCGCAACTTATTCAGTTGATGAACATATTAAAGACTCGAAAATTGTGTCTAATCGTGTTTAAATCATTACAATCAAAAACTATAATCAAAACTAAAAACTATAACAATAAAACACACCCTAAAGTTTTGAAACTCAATTAAAGTTTTGAAACTCAATCTTTTCAATATTCCAAACTTGTTCTAGTTATGACTTAAAATTAATTTATTCGCCCTTCAACTAATTTGAAAACGCCAGCTTAACATGTGAAATCAAATAAAATGCTTACTTATAAAAAGACCGTTTGAATTTATCCTCTTTTTATAAATGGAATGTTGCATTTTTAAACATTTATGAAAAGCCAATAAAACAACTATTTCCATACGTTGCTCGGGCCATAAATATTTGTTAATATGGAAATCTGATGTAATTTGATTTTTTTGCAGTGGTGAGAGGCCAAGAACGACGCAACACCCTCCTGCAGCCCATGGTTGAGTCCCCAACCCACCAGAAGCTTGCCAACGAAGAGCGGCGACCGGTCGTCATGCGGCCGTTGCTGCAACCAACGAGCGGCGAAAACAACCACGGAAAATCCCAAGACGAATCTAACTTGTCCCAGAACAAGGGAACGTCAAACAGGAGGAATAGTAACCAGGAAGCGACGAAAACAGGTTCTGGTTTGTTCGGAATGGTGCGAACCACGACACCAACGCCAAGTCCCGAACGCCCCACAGTCAATATCAAGTCGGGACTCTTGAAGCCGGCTTCTCCTGACTCTCCTGACGCATCTTCTCGACGTCCAATCGTAAAGCGACCAACGCGACGACCTGCCCTTGCCCAAGTACAACCACGACCTACGCAGCAACCTGCCAAGCTTCTAGTCCAACCTACCGGCAAATCGTCCACCGTCCAAACCACGAGACGCGCGTCCACGCTGCTGTCCTCCAGTAGGAGGCGACCACAGTCGAGTTCGACTACCTCTGCCCCCAAGCTCGAGAACTACCGCAGTTTAGCCTGTGAGTTTTTCAGTTACTCGCACTATAGACAATGGTGTTGTCCAAAAATTTTCACGGTGAATTTTTCTTTCTGATTTTGAAGTTTGTTTACATTTTTATCGTCGTATAGATAAGTAAGTAAATATATAAATTATATGATCAAATCGTCATGTTAGGCACAAGCTGTTCAAACTTTTAGCCATTAATGCATACCTGGATATTGGAAATGTTCCCTTGTCACAAATTTATAATTCAAGTCTGCTTTTACATGAACAACTTATTAATTCTTATCGTCTATTTTCTTCAGGTGAACTGCAAGGAGCGAAAGGATTGATGCTGGTTTTCTCTGCAGCGTTCTTGTACTTATTTAAATTGTTTTAAGATCATTCTAAGCGTTTCAGTCACTTTTGCTTCCATTTATCAACCAAAGAAATGAACTGAGAACTAGAAATTCAAGTTGGCAATCAAACGATTTCTCGTTAAGATGAACAACGTAAAAAAACTTCCGTCGATCTCCTAAGCGATTTGTCATTAAAAAAACATTTTCCAGTTTTATGAAACACACAGTGTGGGATGCATGTTTTAAAAATTTAGTCTTCCTAATGAATTAATGAAATAGCTGCAGCTGAGTTATTTTACAATAAGTCAAGTTCCAATCTTCTAGCTCTCCTCTCGCCTCCACTTTCATGTAATAACTTCTGAAATTATAGCAAATTCGTTACCGAGACAGATAATATTAGATTTACAAAAACGACATGTATCGAAATTGTTATTAAGACGACGTAGAGATGAAGCAGGTTTTCAGGGCTCGAAATGCCATTGTTTATGAATGTAGCAACATTCATTATACTTTTCTCTTGTTGACTGAAAGTCATCGTAAAGTAATCCCGCGCTTTCATAGATTTTGTTCTGCTCATTATAATTATTGATATTTTTAATTGAATTTCACCGTGTTCACTATGCAAATGTATAATAATAATAATATAAGGAAGATTGTCGCATTGTATCCTACCTATGAAACGTTCTACCTAGCCTCAGAGATGAGAACAAATTCGACTAATGCAGATGTGAAATAATTGCTTTGTGGGTATGAAAGCTTGAAATAACCGGCAGTGTCGAGGATGAAACTTTTAATAACCATTGAACTTTCTTCACTGCATGAATGCTAGAAAAATTCACCATTGATCATCAGAAAATGTTGAGATATGTCCTAATTCATTCGTAACTCCAATAGCTTTCGAACTGACGATGGAGCTGGACGAGAAATGTTTTATAAGGAGAAATATTGAATTTTTGTGGCATTCTACTTTTACAATATTAGTCCATTTGCAATTCAAGCAGTCGAGTGGCGTTAAAGCTATATTATTTCATATAATATATTTTACGGCATATTTCGTGGCAAATGCGCAAAGTTTCATGGTTATTGACGAATATATTTCAGCGAGCCAATATATGTAGAAGCCAGACCGCGTACCAGGATCGAAACTCATGTACATGACTGAATTATTAGTTATGAAATAAGCTAATGGTTTGAATTAAAAAAGATGCTCTTAATTTGCTCGCTTCATATTGGATGTTATATTATCAATTGTCACTTGAAAATAAATGGTTTACTGAAACTAACTTGCCAAAAAAAAAATAGTAGAAGCGAGTTCGTTAAGTTAAGTCAAATGACGAAAGTTATATTCGTTGGACGGCCTGTAATTTTGAATTTAGCGATAAAATTACGAAATTTTGCTTCAAAATAATGATGAATATCATTTACATATTCTAAAAGATCATAAATTATAATTGCCCATTACCAACGATGATTTGATACGAGTTTAATGACAAAGTTAATGAAGTGATTCAGTGTAACAGAATCGTCAGCCCCGAAATTAGAGTTGAACAAATAACCTGTTACTTTGAAGGTTGCTATGTTCACGCAGAATTGGTTCTGGTTCCCTTTACCAAGATATTTGTGAATATATAATACTTGAGCTCAATTATCAAAAGAAGTTAAGAAATTATGGCACACACATGCAGGAGCAATCTTAAGCATCCACAAGGTTCCATATTTCCTGCAAAATATTTCATGGTAGCCGTTTCTTCACAAGCAGGATGTTATGTACAACAATGCATGCACATGTGTTGATGTTATTTAGATATAAAAGTTAGACTAAGAGCTTTCCATTCAACTGACAATTTTCACTCGTTTTTTTCACTCAGCAAGGGCACCGTTAGACAAACGTGTGAATCCAATAGACATGATAAATTGACAGAAAACAGGCAATGCGTAAGTACAGTAACAGATGTACTGTTTAATACCACATCAACCGCTTTAAAACGTTCTATATTTCTGTGAAAACGCAGTATGAAAGCTGTCTCTTTGCAACGTAACTTTCAACTAAAAAATTAGACGAATTTTTAGGGAAAACTAAGACGACCATAATGGAAAATAATCATATATTAAAAAATAGGAACTACAGAACAGGAGAGAACAGCAGCTACTTAACATTGAGTTCTCAGCAATGTTATACAAGTGACTGCTGTTTGACACAAAGAAAAGCTTGGATAATACCATATAATGTTGCACTAAAAACAATACATCAACTCTAGATTCATGAGAAGCAAAGCCTTAGCTCACGCCACCGAGAGATTTCTCTTTTCTAGTTAGCCTAATACTGCCCCCCACGCACCTTGTCAAGGACTGATTCGTGAAGTTTGTTAGTCATTTGATTCAAGTTCAAATATGTAATAGATAAAAGCGAAAACGTAAAATGCAATGCTTCGATGATGTCACTACGCTCACAATTAAAATTACTTCATATTCAAAAAATTACTTATAGAAGTTATGTCAAGAATTCTTCAAGATCTCTTTAGAGAGTATAACATTTATTGCTTGGATTAAGTTATAAGCCAATATCAACAGAAGATTATATCACTAGATTAGGTTAAATTAAATTGTCATGTAATTGAATTAATAATAATATTCAACTATTACGTATGGACAAGGCAATGAGTAATAGAATCAACGCAGCTCAACATCGCATCACAGAATCACGAGCTTCTCAAGCATGACTGAAGCTGTACACCAAATGTCGAATAATTCGAAATAATTAACTACTTTCCTGGCGTTTCTTTATTTTCATTCCTATTTGCACGAGTACAACGACAGGGCAAAGCAATCAACAGCAATTTGTTCGATTCTTGAGCTCCATAAGTAATTTAATCCTGGTTAAATTCCAAATTTAATATGAACCAGAAAAATATTCTAGAAATAGAACTAAAATTATGTTAGCACCATGAAAGCTATAATCTATCCTGCATTCAAATAAATATATATATCTATACTTTTGCACATATTCATTGAATTTAAGTAACCTAGGGGATATCTTGCGACACTGACATTTGCGAACTGTATACCGGTACGTCATATAATAAGCTGTAATAGATGATAGCTCATAAAATACATACTTAACATAACTAATGCTTCAGGCCCGTCATTAAAAAATTTCAGGCTTAGTAGCGAACAGGTATAAAATTTCAGTCCCGATTGCTGGGTAAATGGCTTTTGGCAAACATGATTTTTTAACCTGTCAACTCGATTTTTTACAATGGGCCAGCTGGCTATTTCAGTTGTACTGATTCTCCACACCACTGACAAACCTAAAGAAACACTAACTCTATTATTTTTGATAAGTCCATAAATATACATAAATTTCTTCGTCACTACATCCAGAAAACATTCAACCCTTCGCGCTGGTAGGAATTAAGCAATAGTCGGTGACATAGAAAAGGCCAGCGCTGCTACAGATGCACCTTGGCGATGTAAAAATACTAATAATTGTTTTTAAATATATGTTCATTTTTGGCACGAAGATCTTTGTGACCTTTAGTTACAAATTAAGTAGAAGTTACACATAACTTTCAACGAAACAACTAAGGTTAATAATGGATTTTATAATTAAAGATGAGAGTCCGTTCGAAATCAAAGTTGCGAGACACATAAATGACAAGAAATTTGGGCTGCAGAAACTTACTTTCAGCTGTACAATGCATTGAGAAATACGAATAAAAATATAATGGATGGGTACAAAAAATGTCTAAATTTATCAGTCCAAAATTCTATCTTAAAGTAACTATATACCGTAATCAATAACAAAACAAGATGAATATTCACATATTGCAAACGAAACTACCAACAAAACTTTTTCTTCTTTGTGTTATTTTAAAGTAAAATAATAGGTATATGATTACATAATCAACGTTACTTTCGCAGCACAAGACCAGGCAGGGTCAAGAGATCATCAATTACCGCACAAATGTTATCTTAAAGGCTGCCCCAGCCTGGGCGGAGTTAAACGAGGGAAACGAGCCAAGAATAGTGCATAGGCAGGCTGAGTGTTGAGCAAGTCAGAGATTTCAGAGCACGTTAGTGTTAAGCAAGTCAGAAATATCAGTGCACGTCAGTGTTAAGCAAGTCAGAGCACGTCAGTGTTAAGCAAGTCAGAGATGTCAGAGTAGGTCAGATTGTTAAGCAAGTCAGAGATGTCAGAGCACGTCATCTGCTGTCAGCCTGTCATACAGCGTCAATCGACAAAAAACTATCCAGGCCAATGAACCTTCAATTAAGAAATTAAAAGAGAATAGAAAAAAATTCCCAGTATTTTTTCGCCACAATGGAACACGCAGGCAATACAGACAACAAGGCAGTCCCCACCTTGATGGGCGCCTTGCCGGTGCGGTTGGCGATGACGAAGTTGAGCGCGATGTCTTCACAGTTCATGTGCTGGTCCACCCAGTCCCTGACGCTGGGCAGCAGCTCCGTGGTGTACACGTGACTCCAATACTTGTGGTAGAACGCAGCGCCTGTCAGCACCATCGACACCTGCTCCAAAAAACCGCAAGTTTAATTACATGTGTAAGTATTTATATCATTAGTCCACTTAAATCGAAAATTCACCATGAATTAAAAATGTATGAGAACGCAAAGAAAATTCGCAATATCGTTAGTGGAAACGTTTTTAATTACGGTATGGTGAATTTAACGTGTTTTAATGATGGTATGATAAACTTAAACGTTTTTTAAAGACGATATGGTGAATTTAAACTTTTTTTAACGACGATATGGGGAACATGAACGTTTCAATGACGATTTGATAGATTAAATTCGCGTTTTCTTTGCTTTCAAATTGTTAATAACATGTATCTTTGAGAAATAATTTACATTGGAACATGCCTTAAATAATGTAAATCGAGTAAATCATGCAGATCAATTTAGCCGTAACACAAAATAAAATTAATGTATACCGGTAATTCTAACCAATTAAAGTCAATATATTCACCTCGAGATTAGAAATTTCTATGAAACGAAACTTTCCTTATATCCCGAAGCAATTCGACTTCGTCTATAAGTAATTAGTAATTAAAACTTCGACAAATGTGAAATATCTTGAATCTTGTAATTCTATAAAGAAATCATAACAGAAGAATTATTCTGAAAACAAAAAATAGCATGGACTAAAACTCAAAGAACAAGCGAGTCCTACTTTATAACGATAAAAAGCAGCTTAAGAACCAAATTTGGTATGGAAAGCAAAAAAAAATAGTCAAGGTGTACCTACGCACTTGCAGCATCAACTACTAATAATGGCTTCAGGCAACAAAAGAAAACTTTTTTTCGTAACTTGCCATGATTTTTCCGTTTTGAAATTCATTGCCGGCGCTCAAGGAAAACCTCAAAGGAAATTGCAAGGTATTAAATTAAACCTTGAAAGCAATATACTTACACCAGATTGCTAATCATATCCATTATAAAAGGAACCAAACCAAAGAAAATTAATTGGTCCGGCGACAGGTTACAATTATTGATAGTACCTCATTGGTCCACTCTGAGTCGTACTTCCAGGAGCGACTAGCGTTACTCCAGAGGACGTTGCGTGACGGGAAACCAACGAGACGGTCGGGAAACTCGCGCCACACCTGCGATTAGACATGACGTTAACAGGCAACAGCGCTGCCATTAAAGTCCTGAACTTGACATAAAGACAGGAGAGAAGAAGCGGGACCTCGGGGAAAACTCTGGGAACAGCTCATCATCTTAATAATTATCCATAAATTATTCAAAAATAATTCTTTATGACTAAACCCACAAGCGCACGTAAGTTTGAGGCTGAGGGAAACAAAATGACTCTCAAATAATCCGATAAAACAAACCACTTCCTTCAAAATATGCACAAAAACTGAGCAAGTGATATTAGAGCAGTGAATATTACGCAAATTAGTCACTGTCGAAAATACCCCCCCCCCAAAATTTTTTTTTTGGGGGGGGGAATTATTTTTTTTTAGGATGGGCGACATTACGACCTAACCCGTGCGCTGGTGGGTCCTAATGGATCATTTTAAACACGAATAAACACGTGCAAATCTCAAGTAATTGTTAGTGAACCTGGTATCCGAATTCGAGTTCATCGGGAGTCATCATGTTGATGTCGTCGTCGAGGGAGAGGATGGCCTGAGTGGTGATCTCGTTGTAAGGGAAGAAGCGATTGCTCAGGCGATTCTCTGGTGGCCGCACAACAGCCACAACCAAATTATCCAAGGACAGCGCTGCACACCATTCAGCTCAGTTTACAGAGAGTATATTTTTCTTTCTTATAAAAACGTAGATTAATAGTTATCACAATTCAGAGCCGTAAATATAAGAAATTTTCCAGTTGCATACGCAAAAGTATGACGATTTAATTTCTCAAAACCTGATTTTTTATGAATAACATACAGACTCTAGTTGCGTCATGAGAGGCTTCAGAGCTACGATTCCAATCATTTTGTGTGCTGAGAAACTGAAGTGATATTTTAAACAATAGGACTGCAATTTAATACCTGTAAAACTGAAAGCTTATATGCAATATTTAACACAAGTATGATGTGGTACTACGTTACTAACATGCTGGTGGCGACTTTTGCTGGTTGTTCCACACGACGAGAGCCTTCTTGCAAGACGGCACTCGAGACAACGTCTGGATCATCTGTCGTCACAATCACAATGTTAACACAAAATTAGAACAAGAACCGTGACATCGTTTATGACAAAATGTACAACAAATAACGTAAGGTGTAAACCCACAGCATTGAATTAAGCTATGAGGAAATACATAGAACGCTTAAGAGAAATCCAGGCTCAAAAAACATACTTACGTGAATCATAATGATAAACTTCATAAAACTCCAACAAATATTTCAAAAATTCAACCCATTTTCAAATATTCTTAAATTTCCCATACCTAGAGGCATAAGTACAAAGAAAAATATGAATAAACACACCGGCATGTCAATAAATATAATATTCCGGCAACAGACTATCAGGCAGCAACCAGTAACTAAACACCAATGCCGATTTACTAATAGAAAAAAGAAATAAAGCGCCATGACTGCACTCAATACCGATGCACATCCTTAATATAAATAAAGAAATAAAGCGTCATAACCCCACTCCCCTGTTGGAGGGAGTCGAGCCTGTCGTAGGTGAGGATGACAGCAGTAAAGCCCTCGTGTGGGGGGGCGGTGAGGGGCAGGAAGAGGGGGTTGTCAGCCCCAGCCGTGGCAGGGTTTCTGTTCCAGAGGGCACGGCGCCTGCGCTGCATAGGGAACACGCGCTCGTTGAGCAGATCCAGGGTGGTCAATGCCAGCGTCCCTACGCTTGAGAAGTACTGTGCGTACAGCCACTGTACCTGTACAGAGGTAAAATGTGGGGGTGAGTCAGCAACAACACTAACTGTGAATACTGTACCGCCACTGCACCACTAAAGCAATCAAATGTAGTCAGTGCAGTCAAAAATATTACTATGCTTTCTCCAACTTCGTATTTAGGCTCATAAATGTGTACTAATTATGGATCAAGAAGGTCTCCACAATTGCACCGTTATCATAGAGCATGTTTGATGAGCAAGCATAAATGCAACGAGCATAGTAATAATTAACATACCGGTAAGGAATCTATGGTGAGGTTGTAGCAGTCGAGAAGACACTTTCACCTACCGATTTAATTGTAGGGGCGCGGCAGTATTCTCAAGTCAAAACGCGCAACTATCAATGAAAAGCACCATCAGCATTTCCCGCATCAGAAACTAATATTTCGTCGAGTCAGTGCCGACCTGTTGCTGTAACTGCGCCAGCCTGTCACTGCTGAGGTCGCGCTGCAGCATCAGCAGCAGCTCAGGCAGGTCGTCCTCGTAGACTTGAACGCTTGCCACCCGCCAATCCAACACCTGCGCACGTCAAACAAATCTAATGAATAATAATTCTATCAAAAACTTTTTACAGCGCAAACAAAGTGCTGGATGAGTTGGGATGGATAAAGAATCCGACATATTTATAACACGACATATGCGATTGTCATTATTTTATAGCAAAACAATAGTGCTGAATACTCTGGGGTGAAAAGTGATAAATAATGCTACATATATTACCCAAGGGAACGAAGATAATTTTCCACATTTATAATTAAGAACTAGAGTCAAACCTGACTGAGAGGAAGAACCAAAGTGTCAGCCACAATTACAGGCACACAGCCTGCCCGCAGAGCGTCGTAAAGAACTGCCTGGCCCAGACGACCTCCACGCGACACCAAGCAAAGCTGTGACTCCTGCAACATGCTACGAATTACATGTATGCCCAAGACCTTGAATTATGTTATTTATGTATATATTTCCTTTCAATGTCCGTGATGAAGTTTTCTTGATGACAATTCTGACGATGGTTCATGATGATGGTTGAAAATTATTTTGGATTATAAGTCCTGTAACATGAGCATAAAGATATTTGTTTGGACGCAAAATTTGAATAAAATTTGATCCATGACAACGACCTGATCATATTACCTATCACAGAAATGACCACAATCTTATATGTACCTCAAGGATTTGAGGATAAGGGAAGACTTGCTCGCCTCTGCATCGGTACTGCAGTTTGCTAAAAGGCTTTTCATCTTGAGCGCCACTGCGGGATGAAGTTTGGTGCTGCCGCTGAATTCGCTGCAGCACCGTGTCAGAGCAGATGTGCAGCAGCAGCAGCTGCCGCTGCATAGGGTTGCCAGGGGTCTGGGCAAGCAACTCTTCATAGTAATCGCGGTGTAGATTCACTTGTGAAGAAACCAGATACCATGGACGCTGGTCTCTGTACATATTATTATTACGTTATTTTGTGTGTGTATGAAGAAATAAGTAACATTTAATGCTGTAAAATCTATTATATTGGATCAATATAAAAAAAACGCTACAAATGATGCGCACTTCACAATTTCTACAGAGCATGAAATTCATAACAGGTTCAGTAAAGCACTTCCATGAAGCTAGATATGACCATTAGAATCTATTTATATTCTCACATAGAGTTGTTGGTGACAGGCTGGTTGTTGTAGGCCGGGTTGAACACAGGCAAGGAGATATCAAAGTTCCTTCTGAAAGTGTGAGAAGAAAAACCAGCTCCAGCCACTATGGCCTTGCCTCGCTCTACTCCCAAACGAGGGGTGAAATGAGGTGCAGTCCCCGGCAGGAAATTGAAAAGAAGGTGGTTGGTTCCTTCATTCCAGCTGTGAAAATGGAAATTCTCATTTGATAGTATCTACTTTGCAGTATTTTGATTTAGCACGCAAAACTAAAAATTTAACAAGCAGGAATATTAAAAAAAAAATGAAAGCACCAACAGTAATTGATTTAATTAAAACATAATTGCAGATTGAATAGACCTAATATATACTGCAAAACAAAGCTGACTCACTATTTGAGACCAGCAAGAGCCCTGCCAATCATGTCCTTCCTGAGGTTGTTCTCATTGAGCAGGTCAATGGTAGGGAAGAAAATGCAGGCATCCTTGGGGTCGCTCACGTAGTAGCGGGAGTTGGCCACGGCCTCGACGATCTCCAAAAACTCCTTCGAAATTGGATTGATCTCAACTCCATCCTCATCAATGAAATGCGCAAGTGGGTAAACATACCTGAAATCCACGAGAAATTAATAATTTATGTATGTATTTCAGCTTACATTATAAATGAATTGGAGTACATTTATACCGTATATAATCTTAGGCAACCAGTTCGTTTCAAGTATTTGTTTATTAAGCAAAGGTTGGAAGCAGCAATCAAATTTACACAATCACAATGTGAGAAACACTTATTACAAAAATACAAAAGTTGCTGAGATGAGGATCCACAAACAAACTAGCATCCACTTGGAGAGTATGGATGAATTTTCTATACAGCTACGCTCATGTATGTTCATGGTTCCACTTGAGATTTGGGAATCCATAAATATTACCAAATGGAACAAAAAGTTCCATTGGATCAAAATGTTCCATTGTAAAAAAAAAAAGTTTAAGTGGAACCAATTGGGTTAAAAATTTTCATGTTATTAATTTGTTTGTAAGCGAGTTAATCAAGTGAGCAAAGTAATATACAAGAACCATGGTTTTGGCAAAAGTCACAAAAAAATTGAGCTAATAAACTTTAATTAGAAAAGACAACTTACACAGTAATGTGAGAGTGATGAGTGCAGCCACAGCGATACACATCAAAGCAGGAGTGGTGGTGACAGGAATGGACGGAGGGTGTGGGCGCAATGCCCTTGCTCTGCACTACAATAGACTCCCATTGGCTTGGACTTTGAAGCTGCGAGTTGAGGTCTGTAACTTGACCACTTCTCAAATGATGAATAGCCTGCAAAATATTAATCAACTATTATTGAGAAATGTATCAAAGCATGTATAAGAGCCAATGCATTATTTCCTGGAGGATCACCAATTCAATTTTTTTTAAATTGAACAGGATTAATTCAAAAGGTCTTCAACTATTTACCAGTCTCAGTTTATGAAATTGAATCCATATATTGCACATACCGTATAGTACCTACCTAAATAAGTATGCATAAAAGGTGCTGCAAAACTACATAGAAAAGTATATAAAATACACACACATAAAAATAACATAGAAATAACCATCTTTTGGAGAATGCAAATTTCAATGATGCAGATTTCAATGCTGCAGACATAAATCATTGTTTTTATGATGAAACATTATTTCTATAGAAGCATTATATACATACCTCAAGGAGAAGGAATGCTACACCTGCTGCAACTATCAAGGAGCCAGTAACAATGACAAGTGAAATGAGAACATTTAGAAAATTTCTTGAACATGGAATTCTCCTGTAAAATTTCATCCTGTCATCTGAAATCACCTGGGAGTGACTCTGAAAGAAAGTGACACAATATTTATTTATATTCATGAAATTACTGTGATGTTTAGGTGGGGCCATTCGGTGGGGCCAGTTCAATGATCCAGTAGTAGTAAGAAGGGAGGCAAATATTTACTCATAAGATGCAATGGGGATTTTGGAGCCTTTAATTTATCCATTTATAGCTGTGAAATAGTGCAATCCATTCAATCCAGTCTGGTTAGCAGCTCAGTAACAACAAATTTGGAAAATTTCCATATTTGGTTGAAGTCCTTTAGTTTCAAATTCACAAATTTTTAAACAAATTTCATGAACCCGGGGGCTGGGTGCGAGAGACAGAGTCTCACACCACTGCACCACCACAGCTCCATAGGTACCTACTGTATTTATAGGTACCTACTGGCTGCTGCCCTTTCCAAATGTTAACAACATGCACAATTTTGCAGCAACTGCAAGATTCCAAATTTGTTGGAAATATATTACTTTGGACTCATGTGCAGAGTGATTTTAGTAAATAATAAGGAACCTCAAATTATGGCAATTGGCAGTGATTATTACAGACAGCATCTCCCTAGTCACTACCAGGGAGGATTTAGGGATAGAGAGGGGTAATGTATGAACATGTGCACATATCATATTAGATCTAAAAATGTGTAATTAAAAATTAAATTTTACTTTATATTTAGCTAATATTTTGGAACCGATTATGCTACAAGGCTGGATTGATCTTAAATATATGAACACACATTCTCAGAACTCTACCCTGGTCCCTACCAATCTCAAATTATCTCAATGCTTTAAAACCCTGATCCAGGAATTCAATTGCTTCTCAATCAATTCTGCCAACTGGTGTCATGTGTCTGCATGTGACTCAAGTCCCAGACAGGTGACGTGACACCATGTTCCTTAGTGTAAAAAATGCGAAATCAGAAAGATTACCGTCAACCGGGGCCACTCGGGACGGTTTTGAGCGTTTTTTGTTAATAACTTCTTACGATGAAACATTTCATAAACAAGTTTAGGCTCATTTTATAGCCTGTCTCTTATACACATCTAGATGTGTATAAGAGACAGCTCTAACTCCGCGCTGGACTTTGTTTTTTTTGGGTGATTAAGCGGTTTTTTTCGTTTTCTGAAGAAAAAGTCCNCGTTTACACCACTATATTTAGTTTTGCAATATTCCAATTAGTTTTGCTACTATAACAGTTTTACGCCGTGTTGGAGGTGCGTCCCGAGTTGCCCCGCCAGTCCCGAGTTGCCCCGGTTGACGGTAATCTGCCTGTCCCAATTCCATTGCAAGCAATTTCAGTGAAGAAATTGCCACAAATTCTGCAAGATAATTGAAAAAATAACTGAAGTACCTTCAAACTCTGTGTAGGAGAAGCAAGTCCCAAAACCGTGGAAAGATTGAACAAAGCAGGAAGACCAGCGTGCCAAAAAGCAGCATATTGTGAACGTAACGTGACTTGCAATTACACTCACTGTATAAAAGACAACTTAGTAATTTCACAAAAGATCTTCTACTTCCCAAATGTAATTGGGTATGAATCACAGCTGTGTGGTTGCCTTGTTGATTTAACTGATATTGTTCAATTTCTCAAGCAAATCTCCCATAATATATGATAATAAATGGTGTGTATGTCTGTCTTACATTTCTTTAGCAGGAAATAAATTAATGCTTGCTCTGACATGCTTTTTCCGTATTAAATGAAAATGAAGTTAATGCAACTCTCACAGAACATTACCACACTTCCATCAAAACCTGATTTCAATTGTTCCTGCATAAAAAACAAAGGATCAATTTGGTAACGGATTACTGAGTTATTGATTTGTTAATTTCTAAGTGTTGTGTGCAGAGTAATATAGGTAAACGCGGCATATTCCGACACATCAAGGACATAGCAAGAAATGAATGGCTATAAAAATTTCCCGTATGCGCAACTTGAGTTCTGATTGGTTTACGTCACTCTCAAAACACCACACTATGTGCCAGCAACAATGAAACGTCACAAACTATTGCCATATTTATTTAAAAGCCTTTAGAATTCAAACCTACAAAATCCCTGAATTCTGACGCTGTGTGTGACTAAATTAGGCATATTGTGAGACTAATTCTGGCAGCGCTTCAAACTCTATTAATTTGTAATTCCGGCACCCTGTGTTGGAATTCTGACGCCCTGTGTGAGCTGTATCAGAATACAACACAGCTTGGAACGAGCTTAATTTAAAAATTTTAATTTTTTAATTAAGCTTTTAATCAAGAGCTATTAAGCTTTTAATTAAGAAAATTTTAATTTTTGGACACAGCTTGGTCAGCCTCGGAACGAGCTGTGTGTGTCTAATTCCAAGCTGTGTTGGAATTAGTTTGTAGGTGTCTAAAACCGTTGATTAAATTAATCATCTATTAATTTATTGGTATTACTTTAGATTAAGTGCATCCAAAAAAGGGCATTTTTTTAATTATACATTTTTTGGGGTGTAGATTAAGAATCTGAAATTCATTTTTGTTGGTCAGCATCGGAAAACTGATTTTTTCTAATTTTTTGTATATTTCTATAGAAAACGACAATGGGGGACCCATGGGGAACCGGGGGTTTTAGGGGGGAGGGAACACCTGAGGATCTAATTAGTAAAAAAAAAATCGGGCAAAAATCAGCAAAATTGACAAAAAATTGTAACATTTTTTTTTTTTTACTGGAAATGATCTATAATTCTATATTGATCTGTGAATGACTGTAAAACTATGTAAAACCCAAAAATCGCACTAGGTTAGGTTAGGTTACGTTCAGAGTGGAAATCTAAGATTAGAGGTTCACTTAAAAAAAGCGTTCCGCCTTAAAGATGTGTATAAGAGACAGCTCCACAATTGCCAATTTTTCAAAGAACCTTCAACCTAATTTCAAAAACTCCTGAAAGCGCTTGTAAAATACTTTATTGTNCTACATGACACTTGACTGACTAGACAGACTACCGGTAGCGTACTTGGAAAATTTAGCATTCAAAACTTTAGATTCTGTGAACCTCGTAATTTATACATTATTAGAACTTTAGATGGCTCACAATATATCGCATAAAATTTTCACTCAATAATAGTCTCGAAGTGTATGAATAAAACCTAAGGAGTATTAAACTGAAGTCCAAGCTTCATCTGCATCGCAGTTAGCATATCCACCGGTTGCGTAATGAGAACTAAGTCAACTAACCAGCAGGCTGAGCTGAAAGCTTTTCCCACCAGCTTCTTTACACACGATTGATACTGCATGCAATGCATGTATAACATTTACGACCGTTATTAAACCATATTGGTTTAATAACGGTCGGTTAACATATACGGTTAAGTATATTGATATCATATTGTTGGTATCTCTGTCACGTGTCACCTTTGTTATTGTTTCGGTACAGATGGTACTCCTGAATCCTGATCGCGAGTAGTTTCATGTCTCAACTGAAAACTATCATCAGTTTTTTATTTGTCGATGAAATCATAGGCAGTTTTTCATGTATTTGTGAGTGAATGTACAAAGTAAAGATGTTATTCTTTGCGATTTTCATCAATAGTGACATAACTACATTATTGTTTTAGGTGCTTGAAATAAGAAATGTAGCATTACACATTAAATTAGCATTAGTGCGTTAACAATGTGTGCATTTGGGGCGGTCCATTCTAGCTTTCTAACGCTGTTTGGATTCCAGTGGCAGTGACGTTGCACGCATTCTGATGGTAATTGGATTCTTGTGACTGGCATTGCGCACGTTCTAGCAATGATTGGATTCATGTGACTGTGACGTTGGACGCATTCAAGCATTGATTGGATTCTTGTGACTGTTACGTTGGACGCGTTCAAGCGTTGATCAGATTCTTGTTACTGTGATGATGCAAGCACTGTTTTTTTTTTTCAAAGAAACAGCTGTGGCATCTTGCAGAGACTCATCAGTGATGATGATCGACTGAAAAAGGAAGTGTGCTGGACGTTCCAGATTTTTGGGTCCTGCTTTCCAATTTGCTATGTTTACCAGTTAATATATTACCCCTCTGGATTTCCACACTGGTTACGTTAGGTGAGGTTAGGGTGTAGGCTGCTATTCTGCACCAGCCAGGAGGCAGGAGGTTGCAGCTTAGGCACACTAAGGCTTTCATTTATAAAAAATCGGAAAAATTGGTTTTCCGGCCGACCGCCAAAAACGGATTTCAGATTCTTAATTTACATCCCAAAAAACATGTAATTAAAAAAACACCCTTTTCTTTGGATGCATTTAATCTAAAGTATTACCAATTCATTTACCACTTGAAATCAGCAAATACAACTTTACAAGTATACTTAAAGGATTCCTAATATACTCTCAGACTTATTTAAAAGTCTCAAATCATAATATTCTTTCTACACAAACAGTTAATCACTATTTGGTACTTGGTAGAGCAAGGTCAACTATCAACTTTGCCACGTTTTTTGATATTCTCACTGGGTAGTGGGTGTCTGGGTGACATGCACTGTCTCTCTTTGGATCTTAACATTTTCCCACCAGACGGCCAACTTGCCAAAACCTAGTATTTTGGCAATAGTATGGTGCGCAATAGTATGACGTCACTATTTCAAGTTTTCAACCATCAACAAATGCATGGAACTAAAACAAAGTTATATATAAAGGAAAAAAGTTAAGAAGTGTCAGAATTACCGTAAAATGGGGTAACTTAGACCACTTTTTTTATAAATGATGCCATTTTTTTACTAGCTAAATTAAACTTGAATTGAAACATGCAAAATACAGGTCTATACCTGTCTCTTATACACATCTAGATGTGTATAAGAGACAGCATATCTACTGCTCACTTTTATCAAACTACATAATTTTCCTTTCCTTTGCTATTTTTGAGGATTCATTATAATTATTCCCATATATTCTTAAGTTTGATTAGCGCGGTTTTGCTTAACACGGTAAAACTTGGGGATTTATTAACCGCGTTAATCAAGGGATTGCTGTACTTGTATTCGCTGATTACAAGTCGTAAATAAATT